CTAGGCCGGATGAATATCAGTCCCTCCGCGATCACGGAGAGTGCCCCAATGACACCGTCGACCGCATCACCGACAGCAATGTGACGGAGCTGCACACCTCGGGTCGACGCCAAAGGAGCGATCCCCGATATGTGGTCATGGCCATCGATGCACGTTTCTTCTCCATGGAAAATGGGGGCATGCATATTACTCGTCAGGGTACATTTGCATCGCGCGAGAACATCGCGATCGGGTACTGGAGGTGCGTCTACTTCAAGGAGGACTGCTCCATCATTTACCTGAGGCCTTGGTGCTATCCGCCCAACTTCCTCAACTCCGTGAGTGATAACCCGAGGAAGTGTCGGGACGAGATGGAGAAGTATCACCAGATCACCAAGACGGAGCATGTCCGCGAGGTGGTGTCCGCTCCATGCCATAGGTGCATGACGGCCCACCCGATCGGCGCTCACCTGTGCACCGCCTGCTACCTTCCCATCTTCTATGAGGGCGTCCTGCCCACCGGAGACACGAACGGCGGCCCTCGCACGATAGCGAGCACCGACGGGGTGATTCCTCCCTGGCTGGCGAAATACGAGGGCGTCGTCCCCGCTCTGTGGAACAACGCAGACGCCAACGCCATCGGAATGGCCCTCTACTCGCAGAGTCCCGCCGTTGATGCCCGGTCCTTGTTGATGTCTGGAATGCGGCCTCCTAAGTACCTCGACAAAGAGGACGTGGATGGCATTTTCCGGAAACTTCACGACTCGCTCCGAGACGAAGTTATTGACGGCAAGTACCGTGACACGGTCGACCACAACGTGGAAGAGTGGGTCGCGAAGGCGATCTTGGTAAGGGGTCTTGCCTTCAACGGGAGCTCCGTCCCCGAATTCTTCGAAGAATATGAGGGATATGCGGCTGAGTGGGGCAGACGCCTAACCACCGCAAACTTCAACGCCAACCGGTGCGGCTTTTACACGTCCTACTACATTCTTGAGGCCCATATCATTGGGCTGAGAACAGGACACCTTTCTCCGATACTCCCCAACGATGTGTCCGGGGAGGGGTTCAAGTTCCAGGTGGGGCTGCTCGCACAGCACTGCGGGATATTGCAGGCCATGCGGAGAAAGGCCGGGTTCGATCCTGCCGCGCGCCTCAAACGGGCTATGGACACGATACGGGAAGGCATTAAGAAGGGGTACGTCTACACCCTCAACGACCTCAGCAGTATGGACGATCTGATCTACCGGACGTCCACCGTTGCCTACGACACCTGCTTGGCCGACCGTCCTCAAACCCAGGATGACATCAAACAGGAGCTGTCCGACCCTGTACCAAGGAAATACCGCTTCCGACCCCGCGATCGCCATCGACCCGGAATTCGCCTTACACCAGGCCCCGGCGTGAAGGACGAAGACGAGCCCGACTTTGCTGGATCAGCGGAGGATGAGCTGGGATCGGATGGTTCTTCGCACGAAGATGACGAGAAGCCTGACGACCCTGACGAGCCCATGGGCGACGACGAGGAGGAAATCCCTCCCCCTCCGCCACCGCCCCCGGCTCCTCCTGCGCCGCCTGTCCCGGTAGAACCGGAGACTCCCGTGGTGTCGCATGCAGGCGTCAGTTCTGGCGATGCTGTGCCAACTCCTCCTCCTCCTCCTCCCGCTCCCATTGCGGCAGGCGTTACTACGACTGGGGATCCGTTTGAGGAAGAGGACATGGCCGTCAATACTCGTGTCCCTGACACCGAGTCCGAGCTGGAAGGTGAGACCGACCAACCCAAGGCCAGGAGGACATCTCGCGGTCGGGTCCCCGCGCCTGAAAAAGGGCAGGGGGGCGTTCATGTCCCGCCTGGTGGGCAACCCAGCTCTAAGAGCATGGCCCAGCCTGCCCGTCCTTCCCCGGTCCCCGCGAGAAGCGGTGTGGAAGGGGGGGAGAGAAGGGGCAGGACCAAGGGTTTCTACACCCAGAAGGATCCTTTTACCGGCGAGGACGCGACTCCCCGGGTTCGTCTTCGATCGGGCGGTCCCGGAACTCCTGCGTCCCCACCACGGGATGCCACTGGTTCCTTGGGCGGCCATGGCGGCTATGACCCGCGCGATGACGACAACGATGAGTGGGAGCTTCCCCCGGGAGTACCTCGGACCACTCGTGCGGCCAATGAGTCACGGCCCCACCGAGATGACGATCGGTCAAGGACCGCGCTTGGGGCCCGTGAGGATCGTCGCGGCCCTAGGGGTGAGGGGAAGGGTCGAGGAAAACACCGACCTGGCAAAGGTGGACGCGAGGACCCTGGCCCGCCCCGACCAAGGGGTGATCGTGGCAGGGATACCCGCGGAGACCGACGCGATGATCGCCGACCCCCTCCACGTCATGAGGAGCCCTCCGAGAGGCGCGGTCCGGGGCGAGATGATCGCCGCGGACGTGATGACCCGGCTGATGACCGTCGTGATCGCCACCGGGACCGACGCAGGGATGACCGACGTCACCAATCGGATCCCCCTCCGCCTCGCCGACCTCCGGCTGGCGACCACAGTAGGGGTGGCGGCGAGGATCGCCGTCGGGATGGAGGAGGTGATCGAGGTGACCGCAGTGGACGCCGGAGAGACGACGCGCCTAGAGACCGGGAAGAACCTGGTTCAGGGTGGTAGGCAGGTACCAATCAGCATCCGCCTTAGAAGGGCGAGGAAATGGTACGTGTGTCGCCGAAAAACGCGACCGCGCCGATCCTCCTCTCGCCCATGCGGCGCTGCTGGGGGTGATGGTCTCCATTGCCCTGTACCGCTGATCCGGCGCTGTTCGTGTCCCTCCCGCACCGCTGCCGTGCGCGCCGGAGACGGTTCCCCTGGCGATCCTGAGTGAGGCTGTGACCGCACTAGAAGTGCCGGGCCGGCCGTAGCCGGATATTTCCACAGAAATTTCGGAGCTTCCTTTTCTTATTTCCTCCCAACTCGACTACTTCTCCAACCACCCCACGACGTGCAGTGAGGCGCGGTGATCCAGATAGGATCCCCCTCCGCATGTTGTCGTCCCATGACAATGCATGAACGGCACGAGAGGAATCTTCGTTTGGTTCCTCCAATATGTGTTTGTTCACTCACGTGGTCCACTCGTCAAATAATCCTGTCGCCCCGATAATTCGGGGTGGTGGCGGGATTTTAACTGGGGCCCAGGTGATGCCGTTTGGCTCACCTCTGAGTTGACACCGGCATTTTTGGTTGGTCCCTTTCGTCGTGAACTCAACTGTCTCGCATCCTTTCTCTCGTCCAGATATCGGATGAGGGGGGTGTGTTTTGTTCACGTGTTGTTTCTTCATGTGGCAAAACGGCCGAATGGCCGTTTGGCTCAAGATTTGGATCCCCCGTCGGGACTTCCTTGGATTTGCGTGCGTTCGCCATAGTGCGGCGATTGGCTGCGCCATCGCGGAAAAGGTCCGTGGTGTTCCAGCTGTTCGGCACTAGGAGGTGGGCGGCAGGTCGCCGAGGTGCTCCCGGGCCCGACCCTTGTCTTTACCTTCTTCTACCAGTTTCCTAACCTCCCCAAACTTGATCTTCACTAACTGTCACTCCCACAATCTGGTCACCGGCACCTTCTACATTGTGCTTTGAGACTGGGTTCTTTTGGTACTTCGTGAACCACGTGTACCTCTTTGATTCCCTGGGCTACTTCGTGTTCGCCCAAAACCGCACCTTTCAAGCGACCTTTTCAGGGTTACCCCCCCCAATGAAAACAAAAACGGAAACAGCACAATAGCAACAGACACATGACGCAAGCAAACCCACACTTGGCGTTTGCACCCCTTGGATACTTGAGGTCCACGTTTCACAAGTTGGGACTTGCACCGCATCCACTCTTCGAGGTTCAGGTACAAAGATTAGACCTGGCAAATGGATAATTTCCAGGAATCCCAGTTCTCTCCTCAAGCACAATCGTGCGGAGGGGGCTGTTGGTTTCCCTATACCCCAACCTTCAAACAGGGCAGCAACTCAAGCAACAGGGTTGCTTGCACCATTTGTTTCCGCAAAAAAGATGACAGCCGCGGCGCACGCGGCCGCGTCCCAGGCTTTTGGAATTCAGAGAGTCGCAGCTGCATCCGGTGGGACATGCAGCACATGGCGATGGTGGACCGCATCCTGGACCAGCGCCTCACCGTTCCGTTGTTTTGTTTTTTGTTTTCTTTTTGACCAGCTGAAAGCGTTTTGGGGGTCGATAGGCCCAGAATTTCTTTGTTTGTTTTGGTTTGTTTTGATTTTTTAAACCAGCTGAAAGCGTTTTGGGGTCGAAGGGCCCAGAGATCGGCTCTGGTCGGTGGTTTGGGGCAGCTTTCAGGGAGGGTTCCAGTGTTCCAGTGGGTTTGCGAGACGTGTGCGGGATATTGCCTGTGTTTTTGGTCCTTTTTTTTTTTTTTCGAAGGGGTCGGTTCCCCATGCGGGGGTTGGGTGGTTGGGGCCAGTCGAAGTTGGGGGTGGAGTGGGGGGGGGGGCTCCTCCCAAGGATACACCTCGGCAACCCAAAACACAGCTCATTTAGAGGATCGGATGTGTCAAAAGATGTAGGACCCCTTTGCATGGTTTCCACCCGATTGCCAAAAAAAGACATTCCCAATTTGCAAGGGGGCTACCCTTGACGATGCTTGATGCTCCTTGAATGAGGTGCGATGCGGTCTTGCTGGCAACGCGAGTCTTGGATGCACTTGGGTGCAGCGCCCCGTTTCTGTTGTGCATTTTGAAACCAACTACCATACACGGTGCCCTTTTTCCCATCACCGGGGTCTGGGGCAAGCTGCCATCATTGGCCGCCTCCTCCTAGCCGGGATACAAGAAATGAATCAAAGGGAAGAATCGCATTTTATCCACGCAGCAGTGGAAGAGGATGCTGCATGATGTTGGCATGAAAAAAGCTGAGCCACTCGCAAAGAGAATCCCTGCATCCTATGCCTGTGATTTTCATCGCGAGTATTGGATCTCGAGCCTCCAACCCTATGGTGCGCAAGAACCAACACAGTGCGCCTGGCATGCAGCCAAATGCTCGTGCCCCAACCAGGCACGGAAGGACTTGGGGAGAGTGCGGCCATTCCAACTTTCGCATCCTCAAGGCTTGGGATTTCCAGTCTTCCCAGAAAAGTCAAAGCATATTTGGGCTGCCTTGACTTGGAGAATCGTCCGTCCCATGTGTCCGGCCTGTTGTTCAGGAGCAAGAATGGGACCTGAAGGAGGTCCCCATTGTGTGGGGAAATGTTAAGGTTTCGTGCTTCCAGGCCGATGTTTGCCCAGTTTGACCCGCAGTAGTTGTCCTATAGGGTTTTAACCCACCCTGAGTCAACCCTACTAACCCCGAGTTAACTCACCCTACTAACCCCTTATTGCCAACCCCTAGTTACTAACCTACCACCCCCCACCCACCTACAAACCACCTACTAGTCCACCCTTTTATCCAAATTCAGGCGGAACCAAGTACTACTACTACTACTACTACTACTACTACTACTGCTGCTGCTGCTACTACTACTACTACTACTACTACTACTACTACTACTACTACTCCACCCTACTAAACCACCTCCCATCCCTCCCATCCCTCGCTTCGCTGGGTCCACTCGAGACCCGCGAGACCCAGACCCACGTGAGACTCACGAGGCGCGGTGGCCTGGAGCTGCGACCGCTTCGGGGGCCCAGGGCCCACGGCTCTGCTGATGAAGGGCCTGGTGCCCGAGGAGCTGCCCAAGCGCCTGCCCCTCGCCCCCGATGCGGGTGGGGTGAAAAGTGGGGGGTGGGGGTAAAAAGTGGGGGGGGAGTGGGGGGTGGAGGGTGGGGAGGATTCCCCAAAACCGGGCCGGAGGGTCATCCGAGAAAAATGTGCATTTTGATGTGGTCAAAAAGGGTTCATTTGGTAGAACCTCACAAGGGCCTTCGGGTTCAGAAACTTTGGTTCGGAAGCCAAAAGGACGATTTTGGACATGGTAAAAGGCAGTTGGGGGTACTGGAGCATCACCATGGGGAAGTCCAAGTCCCTATGACACAAGATCCCTGTGTCAATTAAAATCCCGTTGTTTCAGGTTGTCACAGGAATCGGAGTCCCAAATGGGTTCTTTTTATGTTCCTTTTAAAACTGGATCCCAAATTGGCGTTTTTTGTTGGGGATTGGGAGGTTTCTGGCACTTTAACGCTGCCCTGGATTTTTGACCAGACAGAATGAAATCAGAAGTCAAACATGGAAAAGGATGCAACCAATTGTGGTTTCATCTTGGTGTCCCTTAAAACTTTATCCATCCCAAAAAGCGTGCCCTCAACAACACACCCATGTTGAGACTGCCCCTCGCTTTTCATGTTTGTTTGGTGAAAACAAATTTCGCTGCCACGGGTTAGGTTGGTGGAAAAGCAAGAAGGTGTTTGGACAAATCGATTTGAACAACAAACATGAAACCAGTGGAAGGCGAAAATGGAGAAATCCGATCTTGTTTCTTGGAGTTTGGAAACACAGCGCCCCGAGCCTGCCCCTTTTGCAACATGCATGCACGTCCTTGGGCATGCGGACAGGGCTCAATGGGGTACTGTATGCGTTAGGGCAACTTGGTTGATTATAGACGGGTTCCACTGCTTTTGCTCAGGTCAGTTTGGTTTGTCGATGGCTTTTTAGGGCAGTTTGAATGGCAAGGATTTGTTGGGAATGAACTTGAAGGGAGTCCCCTACAGGGGCACCACAAGGTCTATAGTGTCCCTTTTATGTTGCTTTGTCCAGCGGACATCGCAACTAGACAGAACATTTTGCAGGCCGTTTTTCACAGGATGTCCAATACATGAGGATTTGTCAAGATATTGGGCCCTTTGGAGGGCATATTCCGTGGGTTTTCCCCAAATGTCCCTCGAGTCTTCAATGAATTGAAGCACCCTCAGTATGTGCATGTGTGCCACTTGGACCTATTCCTTGAAGAGGGCTACACAAGAAGCGCGGGTATTGAGACAGAATGCCCTTGATTGAAAGAAATACCGCAGGTCGGCATCACACGGAAAACTGGCGCAAGCAATGAAAGCAAGAAGTGACAAGGCTCGCAGTTTGAGTCTCAATGTCCATTTCCTCCAGTGTTCGGGAAGCTGGTTTTGAGAGAGAGAGAGAGAGAGCAAGAATGAGCAAACAAAAACGGCCAGTTGAGTGGGAAACACAACAAACAGGCTGGACTTGTTGTTGGGCTCCCTGATTTTCCCCCCCTCCCCCCCCACTTGTCTCTTGATCTGGCAAATCCCACGGAAGTTCAGGTAATTCTTAGTTGGTGGTTTGCATTGGTGGTTTGGATTTGGATTTGAACCCCTGGTTGGTTTACTTTTCCGGAACACCACCAAAGCACGGGAAGCTGAGAAGTGAGTCGCCTGGAGGCATAGCTGCAGCGAGGTGGTTCTGGTGGCGCTGTCAGGAGAGACCTGGGCCCTACCGGAGGCTGGAGAGACTGTAGCATGTCCTGGTTCAGTGGCACCCCCCAACAAAAATATGCTTTTTCCCATGTCCAAACTTCGGTTGAAGGTTGTTTCAATAAGCAGTTGGGGGGGTGCTGGCTGTGGTTCATCAAGGCTCACTTGTCCAAAGACTTACCCTTTTGTTTTCATGGTCTTTGGGCAAGTGAGAAAGGACGTATGGAACCCATGAGATTTCCCGCAAACACGGCGGGGGGGGGGGGGGCTCACAAAACATTTGGGGGAAGAAGACATTGTGACCGTGAATCACTCTTTTCTGGTCAATCCCATTGGTGTTTCCTGCCACCTTTGAGGGGGTGTCAGGAGCGAAAAGCCAAATGGGCCCCCATTGTGACAACCTTCCGAATTTCATTGTGGTACTGGGAAAACAGAGTTATCTCTGCAATCATTCTATGGGCGTGCCTTTGTTTAGGTCGGTTTTGAACGGAAGCCAAGGGACACCACATACCTTTACGGGTTCACTATTTTGAGACCCACCTATACGGTGTGTTTGCTTGACTTTGCCAATGTATGTTTTGAGGGTATTTTTTGGGGGTGGTAAATGGAGGCCAAACGGAAAACCACCTATTTTTGGAGGTCTTCCAGAATGTCAAATGCCTACATGTAGCTAGCCTTGTCACCAGATCTTCCAAAGATAGAAGTGACTTGACCCTCCAAAACCTCACAGAAACCCACCCTCACCCTTTCACATAGAGTCTAGGGCTACCTTCCCCATTCTTTCCAGGGATCCTTCTTTTCAGGAAACCGTCAAAAACCCAGGGAAACAGCGATCGGTTTTTGAAAAAAAAAGGATGATCGTTGAAAAGAATGGACAAGGAATCAACCCCTAGATAGCGTAGATAGATACCCCACCTAGATACGAGAGTGGGGCCGTAGGCCGTGCGCCTGCGCACGAAGTCGACGCCAGGCGCCGTTGCCGTTTTCGCCGGCCTTGGGCGAGGGGCGCATGGAGCTGTCTGCGGCAGCGGCTGCAGCAGCGATGAGGCCAGAGAACGGTCTTGGAAACATCGCTTGCCTGCTCCTGACATGTTATGAAGATGGTTACCCTCTTTACACTCGTTTCAAGTTCACAGGCAAAAAGGAAAGTTGTCTTCCAAACACCTCGTGTTAGCTTCCGTGATTGTTGGAGGGAGGGTTGCTCTGTGGTCCTGATCATTACTATAGTTGGGCTGCATCAAAGTCTTTTGCTTTGCTACTACACCAAGGCTTGAGAAGATACGGTGGGTGGACCAAATCCACCTCTCACCAACTGGAATTGGTGGCGTGAAAGAGGGAATTCATAAGGTTTCACCAGTTTCATCCATGTGAACTGGTGCAGAATGTTGTCAATCCACAGTATTTCGGCAGATTGAATGCTTGTTCTTTTTTACGGCTGGGTTGTTCAACATCAATCCTTGATCCTCATGCTAGATGGGTTTCGCGGTTTCCCTTTGCGTCCCACTACGGGCTACGGATTGGGATTAGGGATGTTTTATTTTGAATAATTCATATGAGTGGAGAATCATTCAGGATTTTGTCAAGAAATCACAGCCTGGTTTGTGGTGAGTAAGGTGTGCTGTGAGTGACAACTGCCATGTCATTTGCCCAGGGGCAGCGTCCGCGTGATGTGCGAAGCACTGTCGCACATTGAAGCAGCCATCCGGGCGCAGGATGGGGCTGGGCGCGAGGCAGTTGCCGTGCTCGTAGGGACACGTATCGAAGGTGTACGAGCCATTGGGGTTCCCCCGAAGCAAGTGGCAAGGGCAAGGGAAAAGCTGGGCTACGGCAAAGGCAACAAGGGATGCCACAAGTCATGGGTCTTCCTTCGTGCACGACAAACGAAGGGGCGAAGCAAAGTGCAAGGAAGCGCTCAATGGCAAGCAAGACTGGGGGAAAGCACAGAAGCACGCACACAGACACAGACACAGACACAGACACACACCCACACACCAGACACCACACACACCAGACACCGCACACCACACAACACACAACACGCACACATGCACAGACGTGGCTCGCAACTTCCAACTGGCTCACACCCATGGAAGTTGATGGTCCTGTCCCCTCCGGAGCACCCCAGATATTTTTTGTTTCCAAGAATGCCCTCATGATCGGCTTCGACCGATTTGGCATCAGAGAGCCTTCAGCGGTTCCGGGAGCCAATGATGCACTGCCAACATTTCCCAGCACAAATCGAATCTAAAGAGGAATCTGATCCAACCCCATTGCCAATGTTTATACCTGGAGTCTCCATGACCCTTGAAAAATGATGACCCCATTATTTTGTCTAATGAGCAACCATTTTTTACAGTGTCAGAAGGAGACTCCAGGTACCCAAAGCACCCCATTGGCGAAGCTTCGCACGCGCGCACACAGCAAGCCATGCAGCCCAGAAGTGACCTTCAGGAAGTGCTAACCTTTGCCTCCTGGCAGCCGAAAGCCAAAAAGGCTGGACTCAAGCGGCCCGCGGTTTTGGGATGGGAATCTGGGGGTGGGGGGGTTGGGGGTGGGGGTGTTTAATATATATATATATATATACTTATAGTATTATGTGTATATACATATATATGTATGTATTTACCTACATGGCTTGTGCGGGATGGGTTGGTGGCTTGTTGGAGGGGAGGAGTCCTGGGTTCAGAATGATTACCCACAGAATCGTATTGGCATGGGGAAGTGATGCCGCACCCTTTTTGAGTGAAGTGGTCATGGGCATCAATCACTTGGATAGAACGGACAGGGTGATTGCCCACAGCAACAAACGTATAGAACACCGAAAGTCACCGGAATCGGCGGAAACTCGGACAGTTTTGAATCCCTGGGTTGCGAATGCATTGGAGCTCACCCCTCGAACAAAAAGAGTTGTGATATGGTAAAACACGCCTTTAGGGATTGGTGGGGGTGGTTATGACCTTTCACTAGAGTTTCTTGTGCATAAGGGAGCCATGACCATCAAAAACGGACGACATCACCGGGGAATCGATGGCGAGCTGTTTTTGGAGGTATTGTCAGGTACAATGGTGTTTGAACAAGCTCATGGGTAGGAGTTCCTGACGAGCAATCAACATTGCAGGGATCCATTCACATCCTACACTTTAGGATGCGAATGGATCCCTGGAATGTTGATTGCTCATCAGGAACTCCCCCTGAGCTTGGCCGTCAGGCGCGCGGATCCAGCGAGACGATTGCACGGGGATCTGCGGGATCCTTGGGGTCCAACGCATCGGCCTGAAGGCCGGGGAGAGCATGGCGCTGGTCAACGTGACCCCGGATGAACTGACCCCAGTTTAGTTGATTAGGGCGTCCCTGGGCTTAGTGCAGAAAGAAACACCTCATTTTTTAAGAGGGGGTTGATGAATTCGGGGTCAACACGTCAACACTAATCAGAACTCCCCGCCCCCTGAAAAACATAGAGACCCTGTCCTTGCTACAGGGACCGCCTCAGTAGGGTCCTCCTCATGAATCCGAAGTTGACATGTTCGAAACCCCTGAGAACCGGCAAAACAAAGCCCAATCGCAAAAGCTCCGTGACACGCTATGAAAGCAAGTGGTCATGATTGTTCCAATCTGCCGGTTTTGACGACTGTCTTGAAATACAAACCTGTCATGAATACACTCACGAACACATACTTGTTCCTCTTGATGAACAACCATACGTTGCGTTGAGGCACGATGCAAACATGTGGCTTGCAATGTGTGCTGGCAGAAATCACCTACCAACTCGTGCAGGAGCTTGTTCGTCTACAGTAACATTAGCACCACATGTCTGCAGATGTTGTCGCCAGGCTGGAACAGGAGCATCTGATGGAGACAAGTCAGGCGTTCAGATTGCGCTTGCCAGGGTCAAAGGACCCTGGTGGAGGTTATTGTAAAGATTGTCAGCTCACAATCCCTTTGGCAGGGAATTGGGACAGCGAACGATATCCCTGTTGAGAGAACCTCTCTACCCTTTAGAACAAGTCTGAAGCGTGAGATCGGTGAATACATAGGTGGGCTGGGCCAGTTTCAAGCTCCAGGGACAGTGTTCCAGATTCGCCACTCCGGTATGTCGTTGAGTCTGACAACTGATTCGGCGAATTCATCGTGAAATGGCCAAAGAAGCCTCCCCAGTGAACCCTGGCCTGGCATTGCCAAGACTTCGCCTCAAGGGACAGAAATCTGAATTTTGGGTGGGCTTTATCGGTTTCTTCTGCTTTTCGGTTTGGTCGGGGAAAATTCGGAGTTGGCAGCACCGGACAAAATGGCGCCGCGGCCCGCTTCGCGTAGCCTGGACCTCTTGGAATGTTCAGCACGCCCAAATTCTGGAAAGAAATGGCGCCTAGGAATGTGTCAGAACGATTTGATAGCATCCAAAGGTTACACAGCCTGGAGTGATAGTTGTTCCATCCGAGTTGCAACAAAAGGTATAGCTTGTGGCTAGCTCAAATGAATTCTTGTTGGGCCAAATTCGACCGAGCTCCTTCATCGAGCTTCATCGTAAAGAATGGAACTTCGGGAATTCCTCGTTTTCGGTTTGCAAAGAGGGGGCAATGTCATGAAGCGCAGCCTTGCAAAGTTCCCATTGGGACGCAGCGGAGCTGAGACAAGCACCTGAAAACATGTGGCGAGCAAAGCGCTCCGCAGATTTGAGTTGCGAATCTCTGAAAGACGTTGCTACCCCGGAGAGAAATTGCAGACTATCCCAGGAATCCGTTTTGCCACTATAGGTACTCTCCCTCCAACCACGGAATCTGACAGGAGGGTGTTGCAAGACGATTTTCCTTTTGGGGAACCCCCCTGTCCACTTCCATGATTGGAGGGAGGGTAACCTTGTTTTTTCAAAGGGTGCCCTTTGCCCTTGGTACCTACCTGAAATGGAATCACGTCGCACGGACCCCAAAGGACGTCGCTGGATCTCGTGAGTGCGAGTTTCTGTTGCCATTGGTTTGCGCTAAGTGCTTAAGGTGCCACTTGGTAGAAAGCTTTGGTTTGCACTGACCCCGCCTTTCCCTTGAGAGTTTTCTTTTGGTAAACACGTGATGGCATTGGGGTGGTGTTGGAAAACAAAGAGAACCAGGCTGCAAGGCTGCTCCCTGCCCCCCGCCACCCCCCTTTCGATTAAAATACACGCCTAATTGAATCATCACTTTTTCGATCATCATGCGAGAGCTACTTTTTAGATTCTTTGCCCCTAATTTCTGGATCCACTTTTTCAATCATCATGGGGGGGCTGCCGCCCCCCCCCAACCCCCCCGCCATGTTTTAGACTTTTTGCCCCTAATTGAATCATCACTTTTTCAATCATCATGGGGGGCGGCCCCCCCCCCCAACCCCCCGCTATTTTAGACTTGTTGCCCCTAATTGCATCATCACTTTTTCGATCATCATGGGGCAGAGATTAAGATGCACCCCTAATTGAATCATCACTTGTTCAATCATCACCCCAACCCCCCCCGCTGCTTTTTAGATTTTTTTGCCCCTAGTTGAATCATCACTTTTTCGATCATCATGGGGGGGGCTGCCGCCCCCCCCCAACCCCCCCGCGCCTTTAATTGAATCATCACTTTTTCGATCATCATGGGGGGGCTGCCGCCCCCCCAACCCCCCCGCTATTTTTTAGACTTTTTGCCCCTGCTTGAATCATCACTTGTTCGATCATCATGTGGGGGGCTGCCGCCCCCCCCCAACCCCCCCGCGCCTTTAATTGAATCATCACTTTTTCGATCATCATGGGGGGGGCTGCTGCCCCTCCCCCCCAACCCCCCCGCTGCTTTTTGATTTTTGTTGCCCCTAATTGAATCATCACTTTTTGATCACCATGAGGGCTGCCGCCCCCTTCCCGCCCAAACCCCCCCGCAGAGATTAAAATGCACCCCTAATTGATTCATCACTTTTTCAATCATCACCCCAACCCCCCCCCCCCCCCGCTACGTTTTACGTGTTTTACAGGGATTAGTTTGCCCGTATTTGAATCCCACTTTTACCATGAGGCCTTGCCGCAGAGGAACTGATGATGCTGAAGATGCAGGAAGCTCGATTTGCTGGTGATGCTGGGGATGTTGGCTGGACATGCGAGGGAAACGATGCTGATGATGTTGACGGACTAGCGCAAAATACGCACATTTCGCGAGAAAATGCTGCAAATTACAGCATTTTAGTAGCCAGGACGGAAAAAACAAACACATAAAACAAAAGAAAATCCCAAATTAAATCTCGACCCGGCAGGAATCGGTCGCCAACCTTTTGCAGGTGGGTTTTGTTATCTAATAATCAAACTCCATGGGTTTCCTTTCGGCCCCAAACAGCCCACCCGGTCACCCAAGGGGTATCAGGACCCGAAGAAACCACACTTAAAAAGTGGGATCCCCCATGATTTTGGAGGCAATACCCCCACTTTTCAGAATAGCTTGGCTTGAGCTCCAGGTGCCGAAATTCCCTGACTTCCGGCAAACAAGGTGAGCAGCGACCCGAAAAGTCTCTGGTTTGGGTTTGCCCCCCGGTCCTTCCGATAGGCGCTGCGTCTGCGGATCAAGCGCTTGGAGAAAGAAAAGGAGGACCGGGCCGAGGCCCCAGAGTTCCGGAATGCCCAGGTTCCGAGGTTGCGAGGATTTTTGATTTTTTTTTTTGGGGTGTTCCGCCCCTTTTTTTCGGCAGGGGTTCCCTTTCCACCGCCTGGTTCAAGCCATTCAAAATCGCCCAACCTTCGGATGCCTCTGGTCTGAACTTCACATTGGCTGAGACGGGGCACGTGTGCTGGATTTTTGGGACGCCTTTTGACTTTTGAGACCTGAAAAAATCGAAGCCCAGACCAATGTGGAACCATATGCCTGAAGCGCGCAGGTCAACCCATGTTGCTTCCCGCATGGCCACAATCCCGCGACAGTTGCCAGGTGTTTATCCCAGTAGGCTTTCATCCATTCCAAGTAGTCTGCAGATTGGGGGTCTGAGTGGTCTCGACGGAAAGCAGAAAGCAGTTCCGAAGCAGATGGTAAGCATGGGACCGATTCAAGGAGATGGTCCGGAAAGTTCTCGGTACTTTCAATCCAGATGCTAAGCCGTTCAGAGTTGCAACTCCTTGCCGGCAAGAATCCTTACCTGCGATCCCTGATCCTCGGCGTACTGGATTCTTTAAGGAGCCATCAGCCGGATGACCGTGAGCGGACACCAATGGTGCCAGGATGTGCCAGAGATCCCTGATCTGAGGCTTATTTGATTTTTCACGTCACATGGAGCATGCCACACAACACCAATCAAGTCCATATGAGGCATCTCTTTGCTTTGGTTGGCATGCCAGAGACACATAAAATTATGATGTGTCTGCCCTGGCAAGTGAGCTCCATAATTTCTGGTTGTCATTGTGCGTTGAAAAACAGCACTGAAACATACCATGGGGCCCTACCAACTGTTGAACAGCTGCTAACTGGTGCATGGAGCTTTCGACACTGTCTCATGGGCGCAGTCGAGGTTTTGAAGAGTGTAATCGCAGCATTTCCAGTTGGAGATGCAAAGTAAGTGCTGCAATAGTTCAATCCGCCGGAATCACCGCTGAATTCACTGACTGACAAGCTTGATCCAAAACCAATATGCGGCACATCTAAGTTCGCAGCTGGCGAAGCCAAGGACTTGTGCGAGAAAGACATCGTGAATCAGGCGCCTTTTGCTCAATTGCAGGGACAAGGCACAGTTGGTTCACTTGAACAATGTGGGTTGTCTGAAAACGATGGTGTTGGTCAGAAGCATCGTGTCCAGAGAGGCAGCTACCCTTTTTGCAATGGAGGGGGCCTGTTCAAGAGGACAGTAGTCTTCCCGAACACTGCGATCTTCCACGAGGGTAGAAGTTGAACGCTCCACCACGCGGAGGCAGCATAGGCATCCAGGGTCCAAGAGTTCGCTGGGAAGTGGTGAGGCATTGTTCAGGCACTGAACCTGCGCGGGAGCTAATTCCTCTGGTCGTTCGTCCACATGAGTACTTGCCTGGACAGCTTGCTTGCCCGCAGAATATGCGAACCTAATTTTGTGAGTTTGACTGATCTTGAATGCTTTTGTGATCTTTTGTGTTTACTTTCGTCTGAAGATCGCAGTCGCATCAGGAGAAAGCAAGCTGTGACCCCAAGCTTGGAGTTTCACGTTCAGCTAGGGAAAGGCATGGGAATTAGCAGTCGAGTAGTTGCTCACTGTCACGTAGCATTATGAGTTTTCAGCCGGGTTGTTGTGCCCACAAACCTTGCGCTGGCAAAATCGATCATCTTCATTCGCCTTTGTTTTTAATGGGCGACTCGGGTTCAAGTGGTTTAGTGGTACACCCGGCAAACCCGGGTGCCTCGTTTCTTGTGAGAAGAGGAGTCCTGCTTCAAACATGAGCATACAACTCCCCGGCCCCCTTTTACCAGGACAGCCGCCTTTCAAGTTTGCGTTCGGTTTGCTGGACACAAGCAGAAGAGGATGGACACAATAGTTAGTGAAAAATACATTTGTAAAGGAAAGACGTGTCACAGGCTGAACTAATTTGATTTGCAGAAGCTGCCTTGGTGCGCGTTGTGCCCAATAAATGCCTTCGGCACGGCCTTGGCTTCAGCTTAGAGCCGCTTCCGAGCCAACACGCCTCGAGGATTTGGGAGGATCTCTTTTGAAGATGCACTTGTAGCGGTTATCATTTCCCTTAATGAAAACAAGCCCTATTTGAGCAGCTTCCAAAACCAGGTGGTTCCAATGCCGGGTTTAATAGGGTTACAGGTCCGCACAGACCTTTGTGACCATGTTGGCAGGGCCTTAAACATCCTGGTTGTGTGGGTTTATAGCTGGGCGGTAATCTGGCTTTGTGTCAGCATAGGAGACCCTCACAATTGGTGGTTGTCCTGGTGTCCCCTTTGAACCTACCGAAAAAAGGGTGCTCGCACAAAGAGACCCCCACATGGGTGGTCTTTTCTAGGGGACCCCACAACATGGATTTTGGTTTTCTCTTGAATTGTTCCTTCAAATCCACAAAGAAAAGGCTTCCCCTAAAAAGCTTCCAGAATTTGCTGAAAGGAATATGTGTTAGCCTTTTCCCCCTGGTGGTGTTAAAGGGAATCTAGCACTGCTAGACCTATTTGCTAATTTTTCCTGGGCGCGAGAAAGCAATTGGGGGACAGTTGCCACCATATCAGAGGCTTCCCCTAGTCCCTGGACTTTACTTGGCTCCCAGCCATCGGCTTGCAGCGCTTTAGACATATTTTTACTTGGTTTGGTGCTTGGGTTTCCGCAAAATGCTTGGGTTTGGTGCTTTGGTTTCCTGACTCTGTTTTTTTCACCCACCAAACATGAGTCACCTGTCCCATTTTGGTCCAAGCCTCCGCCCCCAAGCTCTCAGTTTGAAGCCTCGGTTCGGCGCTTTTCGCGCAGGCGAGGCAGCTGCTGTGCAAGCTGGGCCCAAAGACGGCCTGCTGGACACCCGGCTCTTGGGTCTCATCCGCTCGCCGCTCGCCGCCTTTTGTTTGAACAAGCGCTTCCAGTTGGTGGATTCGGAACATGTGAATGTTTGTCCCCTGGTTTTAATGGGAATCTATCACCACTGGACATATTCGCTCATGTTTCCAGGTGGCAAAAGCACATGCAAGAATGTGCTCTGGAGAAAAAACAGACGTGTTTTGTTGTTTTATCTTCTTTTTTTGTGGGCGGGCGGGGGATCCGTTTCTTTCTTTTTTTCCTAGGGCTGTTTTTTTCTACTAGGGTTACTAGGGCTGGTCCCCTGGTTGGTTGGTTGGTTGGTTGGTTGGTTAGTTGGCTGTCCGCATCCCCGGCATCACCAGCATCACTTGGACCTGGGGATTGGGTGGCAGTTGGGAGTTGCTGGGCTGGTTTAAGTTAGGGGGGCTTTTGGCTGGCTTAGTTCTTCATGAGGGTGGGTCTTGGGGTGGTTTCGATGGGCTGACATCCAGGCTGCTGTTGGGGGGGGTTGGGGTTGGCTTTGGCGGCTTTAGGGTTGTTTTAGGTGTGGTTAAGTGAGTGTTGGTCTCGTTTAGAAATCGGTTTTGGAGCGTTGCCCCCACCCAAACCACCAAAACTCGCCACAACTCGCTAAACCACACCCTAAAACAACCCTAAAGCCGCTGCCAAACCACCAGCGCACCTAACATAAGTCAGCTCCAAGCCACAACCCAAACCCACAACCCCAAACCACCCCAAGACCCACCCTCATGAAGAACTAAGCCAGCCAAAAGCCCCCCTAACTTAAACCAGCCCCCAGCAACTCCCAACTGCCACCGAATCCCCAGGTCGATGCTGGTGATACTGTGGATGTTGCCAGCCCTGCGGAAAACCAGCCCTAGGAAAATACCAGCCCTAGGAAAAAAACACCGTTACCGGGGGTGAGGGCCTATGTTTCGGGAGGGGGGGGCGGGGAGGGAGTTATGTTGTTCAACTCGTTTGTGGAGGATGCACTTTTTGAGTTAGAATTATGTTGGGAAGCAAGGACCCCAACCCTCCAATGGGGATTTTGCATTCTTAGATGCGGCAAGAAAATATGATGGTGCGTGCGTCAGAACCCGGCGCTTTCATGAAAAAGGGTGTTGTTGATGTTGTGTTGTCGTGGTTCCCTGCCGATTGCTTCAAACCAGCCGAAGGGAGGGCTGCTAATTGTTTTGAACATTGTCAATTTGATGTGAGGCACACACGGATCTCCCCTATCAACCTGCCGAGCCGAAAGTTCGCGGAACCCGTTCGCCTTCCCAGCTGTTTGCTTTGCGAGGCGATGCTGGCGAGGCAATGGAGCAGGCGTGTGAAGGTCTCGCAATGCTAAGCCACGTCATGGAAGCCGAAGCGCATGCGGGTTTCCCTTTGGCACATGCCGATGTTGTAATTACCACCTTTTCGTTAAACGGGCGACGTTTTCGGGGGTGCCCTTGTCAGGTACTCAGGTAGCCAAACCAAAAGGCAAGCCACCAGAAATGGGTTGCCTCCATTTTGAGATACGAACTGACAGGACCCGCCAGTGTAGGGCTCTGGCTATTAAGATTGCGCTGCGCGCTGCGGGCTGCGGCGGGGGGGGGGGTCTCAAACTGGTCGAGCACCTGTTGGTAGATGAGTTAAGGGAAGCAAAAGGAACCCAACCAAGCAAAAGGAACCCAACCATCTTATTTTGAGAGCTATTTTGAGAATCCCTCATTGGACTGCCCATTTGGTTTCACAGCCCAAACTCCACCTCCACCGCGCACCACTACCCTTCTTCTTTCGCAGAATCTGTGGATGGTCAAGTTCTTGCACCACTTGGAATGCGGCTTACCCCATAGGGCTTCATCCATCCCAACTGATGCGAAGTGGATTTTGTCCATCCGGATTTCCGTTGCGCCAGCCAGGCGGCCACTGTGCTCCGAGAGGCCCCTTGCCGCCAAGACATGTGGTGCGGAGGGAATCGGCTTTTGAGGGCGAATACGCTTGTTCGGGGATGCTGAAAAGGGAAGCACGAAAAGCTATCTCTTGTTGGAGCAAACTCGTGCTTGGTGGCGGTATGCAATGGTGCTTTAGTTTTGCCCGTGCCACTCGGAAATTGCCTCGCCTGACCTTATTCTCGGTTTCCAAGACATACTGTCTATACTTTGTATGGGTGTGTCGAAAGCAGGGAGGCCCACCGGATGTGGTCAGATTTGGTCAGATTTGGCGCCTTTGACTCGGCAGGTCAACGCCAAGGTGGGCGACATGCTCCAAGCGAAGGAGCAAGTTGAAGTTTCGCGGCAGTGGCCGCGATTGTTTTTGGAAACGGTAGAGGTTGGGTTTGGTCCCCGAATTTTGAGCTCAGTTCATCTCACCTTCGGGAGAAGGGATAAACTAGGGATCGAGAGCTGTGTCGGGGGGGGCCGAATCGTTGTAATCAAGCATCATGTGAGATGCGAGCCTCAGATGTGAGATGTGAGCCTGAGGTGTGAGATTTGAGATCAAGCGATGATGTAATTCAGCGATGATCGCTATATATAATGTTTGGCTTTAAATGTGAGCCTTGGCGGGAGTCACTGGCAGATGCCAAACCCGGATGATGGGACTCGCAGGAGAAAGCGGCGCCGCGGCCGCAGAAAAATGCCCTGTGCTCTTTCTACAAGCAGGAAGCTCAGACTTTGAGTCTCAGAACATGGCCAGCAATCTGCTGAATTACCTGACCCCGAACTGAATTCTACTGATGGTTTCCTTTCATGCAAAGAATTCCCTTTTCAAAAGGGCAAACCACACTTCTTGGGTACCCAAATTTGTAGTATGCCATGAGCCATGATCCTTTTGTTTGGAATGAGCCCAATAAACCATTTCTTGTATGTTCTTCAGGGGGAGTGGATTCATTCCACAAGTATGCCCTATTTGTAGCATTCACGGAATGAATTCCCTTTGAGGAGAACCCACCACTTTTGGTGTCCAAATCCAAATGTTCGCACATGTTCAAGGGACACCAAAAGGGAACACCCATGTTTTAAGTTGTTGGGGCATCCACTGTTTCCCAAGCTGGCATATATGGCCATGGAACCACCTCTCAAGTGGTTGGCGGACATGAATCCCCACCGAATTCTGATGCCCACCAGGGAGTCCCTAATTAAAATTCACACCTATGATCATATTGGGTATGGCATTTTGCAGTGAACCCCCAACACATTGCGTTTTTCCTTTTGGTTTCCCTTCAAGGCCTACTAACAAATTGGGCCGTTCCCCTGAGAAAAAAAGATGCCATGCGCCGTATAGCCCATCAGTCTCCATCAGTTCTAAGGGTTTTTGTATTACACCCTGGGAATACACCCACTGGTTATTGACCCCATTTAGGCACAGTTCCGGCTAACACCGTGTTATTTTGAACCATTCTGGGCCATTTAAGGGTGTAATCCCCGGGGTGTGATACAAAAGCCCTCAGATCAGTTTGGCCGTTCGGTGAAGCCGAAGGCCCCTGAAGCGCGATGCGGTGGATTGCCTGGTGGCGGCGGAGCTTCTGAGGCGAGCCGACATGTGACATGGGCCGCATGGCGTCGAAGGTTTGATTCTATTAGTTGTTCAGTGGCACCCTTTTTCCCCTTTTTTTGGTGGCTGCCCCACTAAAAATGGTCTTCCCCAAAAAGGGTTCCTTTTTTCCAGGGTCACTGAACAACTGAGTTCCCCATTCTCTTCACCCATCGTTCTCTTTGCAAACCACCCATTTTCCAGGGTTTTGGCCCATTCTTTGAAGACGAGGATGCCTGAAGAGAATGGGGAGGGTACAGCTAGAGATGGGGGTTTCTCAGAGTGACGATGCACTCAAAATACGTACTTTTCCTCAAAATGCGGACGGATGAACTCCAGACATCGCACGGTCAATGAGCCCATGAGGTTGAAACCAGAAGGTTTAAGTTGGTCAAAGGAAGTGCCGAGTCGGGCCGCGCGCTGGCGCGGACTGCTGCACCGCTGAAGCAGACGAAGAGAACAGCCTAGCTTTTGCACTTGACACGCGTGCCGTTTCGGGCCGCGTGCTCCAGCCCAGACTACAGCACGGCTTGAGCAGACGCAAAGAAAAGGCGCTCTCGGGGGGGAGGGAGGAGAGCTGAACTTGAAGCGCTCGTTGGGAGCTTTGGAAAAGGAACAGAAAGAAAAGCTGAAAGCAGCACACAAAACCAAAAGAGAGAAAGACAGAGAGAACACAGAGAACAGAGAGAGAGAGAGAGAGAGAGAGAGAGAGAGAGAGAGAGAGAGAGAGAGAGAGAGAGAGAGAGAGAGAGAGAGAGAGAGAGAGAGAGAGAGAGAGCGAGCGAGAGAGCGAGCGAGAGAGAGAGAGAGAGAGAGAGACAAAGAGAGAGAGAGAGAGAGAGAAAGAGAGAGAGAGAGAGAAAGAAAGAAAGAAAGAAAGAAAGAAAGAAAGAAAGAAAAAAAGAAAGAAGGAAAGAAAGAAAGAAAAGAAAGAAAGAAAGAAAGAAAGAAAGAAAGAAAGACGGGGAGAGAGAGAGAGAGAGAGAGAGTAGCAGGCCAAGAACAGTTCTCCAAACTATAGTTGTTCACTGCTTTGAAACTTCCGCCCCCCGGCTCTGCCGAACCTTACTGGTATTTGCGGTGGGGAATCGATTCATTCCAGGGGTTCTGAACGGTGGTGCAGGAGTTCGTCCATCAGGAGTAGGGAGCCTAGGAATCGGACTCCCCCCCAAGTTTTAAATGGACACGGCTTGTTTTTGTCTTTTTCGGTCTTCCTTCAAATGGTACAGTTGTTGGTGCCAACGTTGGCTTCGGGAGAGCTCCATTCGGCTGTGAGTTTTTCTGGGGAAGGACCAATACAACGTGGTTGGTGAACATGAATCCTCACTGAACTGTATGGTCCATTATTGAGATCCACACCCAAATATGTTCGCACAGTTGGGCCAAGTACGGTTTCAAAGCACCCCTTTGCCCCGTTTTCAATTACTTAGGCACTTGCATTGTTTTGCCTTTTTTGCCCCTGTGCTGGTTACGGAAAACTGGATTCTGGCCCCCTTTAAAGGGAAACCCAAAGCCTGCCTAAGAACGGCGCTTGGTTCGTAGGTCGTACTTTTCTTTGCGAGGCCACTGTTGCAGCGAAGATCCGGAGAAAAGCCACCCTAATTTTGAGAACAACACAACACGACGAACGATGACCTAGGCTCAAACTTGGCAAGTAGGTAAGGTGGGCCGACCTTGTGGGGGGGGGGGCGGTTATCAGATATAACTCGCCCAGTAGCTTGATCTAACTTAAACCCGCGGGACAGCACTCGCCTCGTTTGAATTCCTAATGCCATGAAGTCAGGGGCTTGGGGTTTGTGAGGGTTAACTTTGTGAGACGCCCCAGTTTTTCAGGAAGCACATCCCCAAACCATCGAAACCGCCAGTTGGGGGAAAGCACTCAGCTTAAATTGATGTTTCATGGCTTAGGTCGCAACAGGAACCCGCCCTCCAACTTGTTCGGGACCTTCCAATGCCCCCCCAAAACCCCATGAGTCATCCAGAGGGCGAGCGGCAGAAAAGCGCAGGAACGTTTAAGACACCTAGAATTTGGAAAAGAGAGAGAGAGAGAAAGCAAATCATTTGCTCCCTGACGACTGCGGTTCTTGCCAGCTGCTGTTTATGAACGAATGCTTGTCGCGCCTCTTGAGGCATACCCTCGGCCACATCATCGCCATAGAATCAAGAACTAGAACATGTAATGTGTTATTTGGGTAAGACATGACATCAGGCAAATTGACCTCATCAGACTCGGACTCATCGGCCTGATTCACTGTTGGACTCAGGCTCGTGCAAGCTGATCTTTCAACTGGATGGGTGTGTTTCTCATGCATAGTGCTTACTCACTCAAGCCGTTCAAAGGCAATCCTTGATCCTGCCCTACGAAAGGCGTCCCTGGTGGAGTGGTTCCCAATCGATGGATTAGGATTGGCCAACGCTCCATCAGCTTGACAGGTCTGGCTTTGAAGATGCAGCAGAGCCAGCCTCCAAGTCTTGTGATTCATGCCTCAAGTGAGTCTCACCGGCGTGGTGATTGGTGTGGTTTCAAACGAAACCAAAAACAAAGCACCCATTTTGGGGGGTGCCCTATTTTGACACACACACATGACTTTGCCACCAACCTGAAGTTTGTTTCAAGGCCGCTGCTTCTCGATTGCGCGCGAATGCTATCTGCCTTTGAGACAAACACAGAGATGAAGTGTTGTGCAGACGGCTCCAGTTTTGAAATGCATTGAAGATTCAGCCTCCGCTCAGATTCGGCTCCTTCCTGGAGCCCCTTCAAAAAATGACGCATGACACCAGGTCACCAGGCCATACCCACCCGCTATTTCAGCACTTAAAAGACCTGTGCAAACTACCTGAATTGAGGCATCCCCAAGGAAAGGACCTGCATCATGGCTCGTTCATTCCCAGGTGAGCCTGCCATAGAAAGATTGAGCCCTTGAGCGAAAGGCTCACTTGTCCGAATTGCCTTCCGACGTGGGCAAGCCGGCAAGTGGGGGCACTGTGAGCCCCTGCCAAGTGAACCAAGGTACGATCCGAAGCTCGGAAGCTTCGGAAAAATCGGCCCCAAGCCTTCCTTTCGGCTCAGCGCGCGAGCTCCAAAACACCTGAGGTTCAGCCGGGTGGGTTCCGGCCAGTACCAGCTTGGCGAGACGGGCCTCAGGACGGAATGTGCCCGATTTGGAGATGCCTCGAGCTCCAAGGGCGAGGTTAAACTGGGAAATTACAAATAATTACAGTTTGAGGGGTTCTCAAATTCATTTTGGGGGGATGGGCACGTTCTGTTCTCCACACACAGATGCATTCGCCACCCATCAGTTGTTTCGAACAAAGTTTCGCTACACCCAACCGCTGCGCTCATAGTCGCAGCCTGCATTTACTTCCTTTCATCTATGCAGCTCTAGCTGGCTGTGGGTCAAGAATAGGGTAACCCAAAATGGGTTGCTGGTGGTTTAACTTTGACCCACACCCAGCTGGCGAGGCTTTGGTGCTACCTGGAAGCCGGCCAGTTGATGGCAAGACCAGTCAGTGAGGCAGGGAGGGAGAAACCTGTCGCGGGAAGCATGAGACTTGGGTTCTCAGAAGTGGGGGAACCCTGGGGGGCGTAGTGTAAAACCCCATGATTTCTGCGCTCCCCAAAATATGGCTGTGGGTCAAAGCCAATGGGATCCACCCATTTTGGTTGTTGTTTAGTGGTTGGATTGGGATGTTCACTGGGGGATATATCCGGGATAACCGGGATTTTGACCCGTGGCCAGATCGACAAACCCACTTGTCTGCCTCGAGCACACGCGATTTATGGCGACTCCAACGAACGGTGGAATGAATTTATTTTCTCGGAACAACAAACCCTGAGCCTCAACCCGGAAACCATGAACCCCAACCCTAGAACCAAAATTCCTGAAGCCTAAACCCTTTACCATACAACCATAAAGACTAAACCCGAACCCTCCAAAAAGCATAGAACCTAAAACTATAAACCCCTAAACCCTAACCCAAACAACATCAACCCGAAACCTTAACCCAAAAATTCAAGCCCTAATACCATACACCCTAAACCTTAATCCTAAAACCTAACTAAACCCTACTCGAACACCATAAACGCTAAAACGTGGCGCAGCAATGGTCACACATGCATAGGAAAGGAGATACATGACAATACGTTTCAACGCCTGGTCAACCCCCGGGCGTTGCGTGTGTATACCTAGAACTTCCTGCGGCGGAAATTTCTGCCGCAACGCATTGCGGCGGACATTCCCGCCGCATTCCAGAAAATCTGCCGCCCAAAAAAAAACACGCCGCAACCACAGCAAAAACGCCGCAACACCGTTTGCTCTCCGGGAATTTCCGCCGCATTCCCGCCGATGTCCGCCGCATTCCCGCCGATTTCCGCCGCAAATCGGGGGGTAGAAAAAACTGAAAACAAGTTCTGCCGCAATTCTAAAATAACGAAAAACGCCGCAAATCAGGAAGAAATGCCACAAATCCAAAAAGGCGCCTTTTTTGATTTGCGGCATAAATTTCTGCCGCAACGAATCTCTAGGTATATAGGAATATATGCTTGCACGTGCAATCATGAAGTACTGCTCAGAAGGAGGCTGAATGAAGCTCCACAATTCTATGGGCATGGAGCAGATGGGTATACCCACACTACCCCAGCTAAAGCGGGGCTCGTGATGCTAAATAACCTTTATACTTGCAGACAAAGCGGATTTTTAGGGATTTGTAGATGAGGCTGCTACCACGTAGTCCACTGCATTGCTCTCTCGCAGAAATTTGTTGTGTCTCTCGAAACAACCGACATAAGCAGCGACACAAGCACGCTTGTCACTTGAGGATATCATGCTGGAGCTATGGACGAAATCCACCAGTTGGGATTGGTGGCTTATCAAGCCAATGTTCAAGTCATATTTCTTCTCCATCCCAACTGGTGCGACGTTGGATTTAGTCTATCGGTAGGGATTTGACGTTGGGCTCAGGGCTCCCTGGCACAGAAACACCAATGACGGCCGCAAGCGCGCGGGTTTATTCGAGCTCGCGTTTTTTGTTGGGGATTCCTGAATTCAGGTATACAAATTTCAGATGCAAGCAAGGGTTTCTGAGTCACCTGGCAGTCGGCAGATGACCCATCCAACGGCTGCCAAGCACTGCAAGCGGGCACTCCAATCCGGCCAGGCTGAAGATCAGCCCCCCATCGAGCGGGAACCTTTGCACTTGCCGGAGTTGACTTCAAGTTGACCACACAGGCTCCACCTTTTGTCTCTCTCTTTGGACAGCCCAGGTTGCTGCGCATGTGTGTATGCAGCATGCATATTATAACATATACAGATATATATATATATATGTATATATATATATATATGTATGCATAAAGACAGGGCGTCTCTTGGATTGGTACGCATATATTTCCATTTCGGCTGATGGAAGCTTGTGATCAGTTGCGTGGATGCTGAAACAGACAACACCCGGTTCCACACAGATGGTTTGTCGCAGGAGGTTTTTCCAGGCAGTGGGCTCCGCTGTTTTTGTTTTTGTCTGCAGTCTGCGCGGATTTTGTGGGCTGAGGTTTGCAAAGTTCATCTCCAACCTCGCAGGATAGCCGCGAAATGCTTGAGCCATTGTGGATCAACCATCCCGAGCCATCTAGAAGTTGAGACATGTGTTCTTGGCCAGTGAGTGGTTCAAGAAACACAAGACACACTCCATTGTCTTGAGTCTTGCGTTTAGAGAGGAAGGTGCTGGCACCGTGTCGTGTTGAAAAGAAAACAAGTATAAACAACTGCTTGGGCTTTCAAAAGGCAACGTTACACTGTGAAGGCATGGTCGCTTTTTGTTGCCACTAGCTTGGCCATGCCTCAATTTGGTTATCGACCGGGCGCGTTTTCACAGGGATGGTGACACTCCGGGCCTGGCAGGCACCAGGTTCGAATCGTTCGGTCATTATTTTGACGGTTTCTGGGGGTTATCAAAGTCAGAAAGTGGGGGTTTGTTTCGCTTTAACCCACTTAAGGGTTGCCTTGGACCATGGTAGAATAATGAGGCCAGAAGTGGACGATGTTGTCCTTCAGGAAAATGAAGGGGGAACCTACACTGTGCAACCAGACTCCAGACAACTGCAACCGGATCCGTAGGATCTCGACACGCCCGTGGCTCAAAACCGTAGAGAGCCCTGCGGGTTTCCTCATTGCGACTTCCTTCCTTCCTTCCTTCCTTCCTTCCTTCCTTCCTTCCTTCCTTCCTTCCTTCCTTCCTTCCTTCCTTCCTTCCTTCCTTCCTTCCTTCCTTCCTTTCCTCCTTCCTTCATTACTTCCTTTCCTCCTTCCTTCATTACTTCCCTCCTTTCTCCTCTACATATATATATAACATGACATGGCTTGCTGTTGGGAGCCCAGCCATCCGACTGAGAGGAACCTTCTTTTGCGGATTGTGTGAGGCTTTAGCAAAGAGAACACACATCGTGTTCATAGAGTTCAAGCTGTTTTCGCCGAGAAACCAGTGTTCATAGAGTTAAAGTTGTTAAGGGCTGGTGGGTTGTGTTACAAAATGAGATGCAAGAAACCGGCGGTCCATTTATGCTGGAGAGCGTATGGCAATCCCCGGCACATGGCCATGGCCCCTGGGCCCTCCAAAGAACTCAGACCCAGGCCCTGGAGTATTTCCCAGATCCCAGTTACCCCGGCGTAACCAGCCATGGCCTCTTGTGGCTGAAAGGGTTTCCTTGGCTACCCACTAAACAGGATAAAGCGCAGTGTGATGGCCCAGCTGCTAGAAAGATGACAATCGTGAGACCCTGAATCCCTTGAAATAAACGGGTTTCAGAGTGGCACCAAAGGGCAATCATGTAGCATCTGAATGGAAACCATTTGTTTCCGGGCCGCCCAACATCTGTTCTTGCTCTGAACTACTTTTCGAATCATTCCGACCCAGGCAGATCCGGCGAAGTGATCGGAGTAGAATCCGATGCGTCCTCGGGGTGGGTTCTTGGTTATGACCTGTAGCCCGTGTGAGACTTTTTGGACAAAACCATGTTTCCCTGTAATCAAGCAGTTTACTTCGGGGTTTCAAAGACCTACCCAGGGATCATTAGATTTTTCTCGAAGTCGACCCAAAGAGGATCTGATGTGCCAGCAAGGATTTGAACGCAGCCGTGACTGACTGCCAACCAGCCGTCCGCAGTCGTTGCGCTTGCTGTGACCATCTGTGACCCAAAGCGTGTGCACGGCCGTCAAGTTGTGCGGGAGGGGGTGAGTTGGCCCTACTTTTGGGCAGCTTGCATCATCATGTGGCTCTGAATTTTAATTGGAAACCCCTTGAAAAGTGGTTGGTGGACATAAATCCCCACCTAAATGATGTTCAGCAAAGGGCCCCTGATCAATATTCATACCCATGTTATTTCGCCACTCCTGTAGAACCGGTACAATAGTCGAACTGCGAAACATCTTTACGTCTTGCAGTGTTTCTTTCTTTTCTGCTTTCTTTATGATTGCTTTCTTTATTATTGCTTTCTTTGTTGCGCCTTCGTTCCTTTGTTTCTTTCTTTGTTTGTTTGTTTGGTTGGTTGTTTGTTTGTTCTTCCTCTATCTATTTCTCCATCTTGAATCTCTTTCTCTTTCTCTATTTCTCTATTCACCTTAGGAAAGCAACACACGCCAACCAACGCCAAGTTTTCGAGGGTCGGCCCCCCATTGCTTCCCAACGCTACCCTGCCCCCAACCGTTAAGCCCTTTTGTGGCTTCATGTTGGCCTGTAAAGGCTATTCAGACCAAATCTATTCAGACCAATCTCAAAATTATTTAACCGCCGTTGGCGTGTTCCGCCGGCTCCCGCGGCTTCAGGCTGTCAAATTTTTCTAGCGCACCTCGCGGGAGTGAAGGACAATAGAGTAAAGCATGAGCGCTACAGCCGTGTCTGGTAGCATCAGTTGCACAGTCAATAGGGTAGGATCCATGACTGCAGAGGACAGAAAGCGAAAAGTGGTCCCATCCAAGCACGGGCTCATCTTTAGAGCCATGTTTAGAAGTTCCTTAGACAGATGACCGTGCCAAAGTGCAGCTTTAGCCACGCTCGAACCCCCTCCCCCCCTCCCCTCTCCCCCCCAAAAAAAATGTAGAAAGGAGAATTGAAGGAACTGAAATTATTTTCTACATTTTTTCTATCAACCAATGAAAAACAATTTGAAAAACCAAGTATCAAATAATACATAAGGTTAATAAATCACAACCTTATTCATTCTAAATAATTCCTAGAAAAGATACACACCTTATCCATTATTTTTCGCTAGTTAATCTATTTCATGTTACTGTTTGTTTATCCTTATTCATTTTGTATTTTAAGTCTTTTTCCAATTCTCAGAAATTACAGTTGTTCTTCATTTTCTTTTTACCTTATTCATTGTTCACGAACTTTTCACTCAGACTTTAAAATATGACTAAAACACATTTCACATAGTAGTTCCTCAAAACCAAACAGCCAAAGCACGTAAGACAATTAGGAAAATAATTCAGTCTTTGCAAACGACAAGTATAATACAATTATAACATACAAGAGTATAAATGGTATAATCATATTATAGCTAAAGATAATATGATTAAACCTGTTTTCAGTGTTTCCAGTCTCCTATGTTGTTCCAAGAACTGCTCAAAATGTTTCTGATATAATACCAGATTAAGGTAACATCATAATCTTTCATTGGTGCTCTTTGTTGTATTGAATAACGTAACACTGATATGGCAGTGATTTTTTTTGAGGGGTCTGTAACAGAGCCGCGACGGACATTCGTTACAGACCTCGTTACAGACCTCTGTAACAAAACCAGCTGGCTCGTTACACACCCCTCGTTACACACCCCTCGTTACACACCCTCGTTGCACGCCCGAACAAGCCAGGCTAGTGACGTGACTGCCCTCTTTTTGCCGCAGCTTGGCTTGCGTTGAATAGCTGCAATCAAGCTGGAGCTGCGGAGGCACTTTGCGTACTGCGCTTTGCTTTGCCTCGTTACAGACCCTGTTACATATCCGTTACATACCTCGTTACAGACCCAACCGCAGCCCGGGCCAGCGACCCCGTTTTTTGCCGCCGCTTGGTTTGCGTTGAATAGAGCTGCGGAGGCGTGCTTTGCCTGCTGCGTTTTGCTTTGCCTCGTTACAGACCTCGTTACATAGCCGTTACATACCTCGTTACACACTCAACCCCAGCCCGGGCCAGCGACCCCCTTTTTGCCGCAGCTTGGCTTGCGTTGAATAGCTGCAAGCAAGCTGGTGCTGCGGAGGGCGCGCTTTGCGTACTGCGCTTCGCTTTGCCTCGTCACAGACCTCGTTACATGGCCGTTACATACCTCGTTACAGACCCAACCCCCAGCCCGGGCCAGCGACCCCGCTTTTTGCCGCCGCTTGGTTTGCGTTGAATAGAGCTGCGGAGGCGTGCTTTGCGTACTGCGCTTCGCTTTGCCTCGTCACAGACCTCGTTACATGGCCGTTGCATACCTCGTTGCAGACCCCGTTACAGACCCACCCCCCAGCCCGGGCCAGCGACCCTGCTTTTTGCCGCCGCTTGGTTTGCGTTGAATAGAGCTGCGGAGGCGTGCTTTGCGTACTGCGCTTTGCTTTGCCTCGTTTACAGACCTTGTTACATAGCCGTTACATACCTCGTTACAGACCCAACCCCAGCCCGGGCCAGCGACCCCCCTTTTTGCCGCAGCTTGGCTTGCGTGAGCTGCGAAGGCGCGCTTTGCGTCCTGGGCTTTGCTTTGCCTGGTTACCGAGCCTGTTACATAGCCATCACATACCTCGTTCTGCTGCGCTACATTGTGCTGCTGATACTGCTTGTCAGGAAATGATTGTCCCGTTACAGACCTGCGTAACAAGATTCGTGGCGCGTCGCGCGTTGCAGACCCCTAAAAAAAATCATAGCCTATCAAAGTATAGTAATTAGACTGCATTGCTGTCATTCCTCCTCTTTCATTAATACTATTACCATTATGTTTAACGAGTTCTTCTTTCATTATGTTTTCGTAAATCTCTTTTATCCATTGATGATTTTGTTCTCCATACTCGGCGAACATATCTAGATATATATCTTCCATTGTTTTATCGTTTTTGATTATTTCAATGACTTGTTTATACGATGGATAGGGATTATCCTTCATGAAACTCAATAATATCTTTCTATCCTGTTCCAGCTCTTTTTCTGTCACTCCTATCATTGGCATTTTCCTCTTATTATATTAAGGTATTATGTCTTTAAGTCATTTCGAGTCATTAAGAAAAACTAATCAAAATGAAATATTTCAATCTTTACAAACGATAAGTATGGATGAAACATAGTTTCATTATAGTTATGACATATAAGGGTCTACATGTTATAATTATAGTATGGTTTTAAATCTCTGGATGATGTTTTAACTTAATACCATATTTTCGAAAATCTCGGACATATGCTCTGAAAATCTGGGACATATGCTCCGAAAATCTGGGACATATGCTCTGAAAATCTGGGACATATGCTCCGAAAATCTTGGACATATGCTCCGAAAATCTGGGACATGTGCTCCGAAAATCTGGGACATATGCTGTGAACCGCAGACACATTTTACTTTTTTGTTGCTGGACGAACGACTTGTAGCCAAAACCCCCAAAATCCGTTAGATGTTTGATGTTTTATTTATTTTCTAAACTATGGATATTCCCCTCAAAATCTATCATTTTCAGTTTTAGAATTCCAATTTTTTACTGTATTGTCGTTGGATGAACCTAGAAATTTCAAGTTTCAAGCCCAACCCCAAATCCTTAATCCGTCAAACTCATCAAAATTTCAAGTATCAAACTACTATGTACTTTATATAGGTCGTCTTGCTAAATAGTTCTAAGAAGTTCATATTATTAGAATTACTTAGATTTTAATTATTCAAATAATACATATACTCCATTTTAATTATTCAAATAATACATATACTCCATCATCATTTTTTGTAATTTTAGAAAACTCTAATGTTTGTTGCTTTGGTTGTTTGATTTTATTACTATTCAACATTTCACAGTATTTCTTCTGTTTTGTTTCAGAACTGCCCTGCGGACGACCCAAGCCATGGCTTTCAAATATTTTCTCAATCTTCTCCTTCTCCTTCTCTTCAGTGCTTTGTTTGCGTTCAACTGGTCTAAGTTTTGCATCAATGGATTTAATCATATCATTCAAGGTTTTGATATTTTTACCGATTAGTGTTATCTTCTTCATTAAATCATTAATAGTATAATTCTCATTTTCAGACATTACTATATATTTATTAGATAATTATTTATTTAATTATATATTCATAAAGTGCAATTATGTTAAATCTACTCTTTAAATACTAATTCTTCATCATTTGTTTAACAGTTTCTTCCGTTTCGTTTTCATTATTATCGAATGGTGTTGCTTGCCTACCCCATTTACAAGTTATATTATGGACATCAGTTTCTAAGTTAATACTGTCTTTAGTTTTATCAATATTCATCTTCTTATCATTTTACTTATTTTGAAACTTGTTGGAACACACGAACATTTACAATTTCCTTTCTTTTGTATTTCTAATTCATTTTTAAGTTCTAACATCTTTTTGCACATAGGACAAGCAAACTCAACGACCGATGAATCGTTAACAATTTCTCCGCTATCTTCATCTGTTGAAGAAACACTTAAACCTGCCTTATTCTTTTTGTTTTTTCTTTTTCCCATTTATAGTATTATTTACATTTTTATTTTTGATATATTGTATTCCTAACTTAATTAATTCTAATGAATAAAAGCAGCATTTCTTAATTTTATTATCCGTTTTTATTACTTGTTCTATATTCTCTACTTCATCTATTATATTAATATAATCTGAATAACTCCTATTTATATGAAATAATAAGATAAAATATGTTTCATTTCTGTTTTTCTTTTCTTATAAAGTTTTTCATTGTATCGTC